TTTCATCCAGTTTTTCTCAGTCTTACCCCCACCCCAATGCCAGCCTCATTTTACAACAGTGGCACCATATAGCATTTGTCCCTTTGTGACTGAGACTGCAGACATTTTTAAACACGGCAAAGGGAACGGAAATTCACAACAAGGAGGAAGCTGGTACCACACGACAAAGGTAAAAGTAGACACTGAGAAAACTCAAGCGTAAAAGGCAAAACCAAACAATTGTGAGTAGCTACAAAGACAAGATAAACTGAACAAGTGTGGATAGTGTATAAGAACATACTTAGGAGCAAACTGGTCTAGCAAAGAATATTTCAACATACATATTTGTAGGGCACTCTGATAGCCAGAATGGTAAGGAATTGTGCTGCCAACCCAAAGCAGGAGGTTTCAAACCACCAGTTACTTTATAGAGGAAAGTTGGACTGAAAATCTCCTTCTGTGTAGTTAAAGCCTTTGAAAACCCGCTGGAAGGTCAGCTATAAGTTGGCTCTGACCTGATGGCATATAACTGCAACTGCAACAGCAACATGCAGTACAAATATATCCAGGTACAAGGATAATTCAGAGATATTTTGGGCCCCTTCCAGACCACTACAATAAAATGATTATCACAATGAAGTGAGATATAAATTTTCTAATTTTCCAGTGCATATAAAAGTGACTAGACTATACTACACTATACTATTCTATACTATACCATACCATACCATACCATACCATACCATACCATACCATACCATACCATACCACACCATACCATACTATAGAGTCTGGTGGGCTAGTTTGTTAGGAGTTGTGTTGCTAAGCCAAGGCCTCATGCCTCCTTAGCAGCTATGAATCCACCAGCTACTCTGCAGAAGAAAGATGGCCAGTCTCCTTCTATGTGATTTGCAGCCTCAAAAACCTGCGAGTCAGATAGGAGTTGATTCTGATTCTACAGCAATGAACGAGTTGTGTAGTCTACTAAGTATATACTGTTTTTGCTGTTAGGTGCTGTTGAGCCAATTATGACTTATCACAAACCTATGAACAACAAACACAAAATCTTGCCCTATTCTGTGCCATCATCATGATCTCAGCCAAGCTCAGCTTATTGTTTGCTATCTTCCCTGATCCTTCACCTCTCCTTGCATGATCTGCTTTTCTGAAGTTGGCATCTCTGACAAAACGCCAAGTAAGTGAGATGAAATTGCACCATCTTTGGCTCTAAGGAAAACCTTGCCAAAAGGACCTGTCTTGGAGGAAGAAGAACCAAGGTGTTCCTCAGTTTGAAAAAGCATTATTAAAAAGTTTGAAATATAGTAAAAATTAGCAACATGTGATTGAGATATGACGTTAGCTCTATGCTGTTAGAAAAATGGTACTGAGAGATACAGGGTTGCTGCAAAATTTCAAATTCTAAAAAGAAAAAAAATTAAGATGCAGTATCAGCAAAGTGCAATGAAAGGAGGTAAGCTTATAAAGTTATGCAAACTTCTTAGCCATCTCAAACACTGTGAAGGACTGAACCACTAACTATGAGGGCTTAGGATCACAGCCTCAACAGACATTGAGATCAATCACAGTCCTTAAAGACAATGTTCAGTATCCCACTTTGGTAAGTGGCTGACAGGTTTTAAAAGCTTGTGAATGAAATTGAGATACTTAGAGTGAATGTAACTAGAGATACAAGAGCCCTACAAAAAGAAAACTATAGAGCATTTCTGAAAGACACAATAAAAGACCTAAAGAAATAGAAAAATGTGCCCTGTTCATGGATAGGAAGACTCAATATGGTGAAAATGACAATCCTACCAAATCAATCTACATGTTCAGTGCAATACCAATCCAGATACCAAATTCACTTTTCAAGGAGATTGAAAGGGATTTTATCAAATTTATTTGGAGAGACAAGAGTCCCCGAATAAGCAAAACACTTCTGAGAAACAAAAATAAGGCTGGAGGTATAGCACTCCCTGACCTCAAAACCTACTATATAGCAGTGGTAACCAAAACAGCATGGTAATGGTTCAATGACAGGCACATTGACCAATGGAACAGAAATGAGAACCCAGAAATAGACCCAGCTATCTATGGTCAACTGATATTCGATAAGGAAATCAAAGCTATCAAATGGGGGAATGATAACCTCTACAACAAATGATGTTGGTAAAACTGGACTTCCACCTGCAGAAAGCTGAAACAGGATCCACATTTCACACCACACATAAAAATCAAGTCAAGGTGGATCATAGACCTGGAAGTAAAGCCGAAAACCATAACGTTCTTAAGAGACAAACTGGGCACAGGATATGAACAGACACTTCACAAAGGAAGACATTCAGATGGCAAACACATGAAGAAATGTTCAAAATCCCTAGCTCTAAGAGAGATGTAAATCAAGACAACTATGAGATATCATCTCACCCCAATAAGAATAGAAAAATTTAACAAAAAATGCTGGCGGGGTTGTGGAAAAACTGGAACCCTTATTCACTGCTGGTGGGAATGTAAAATGGTGCAAAGTTGCAAACAGAAATACCATTTGACCCAGAAATTCCACTTCTGGATATTTACCCTAACGAAACCATAACTGCCACCCAGGCAGATATATGCACACCCATGTTTATTGTGGCTTTTTTCACAATAGCAAAGAGCTGGAAACAACCCAAGTGCCCATTAACAAACGAATAGATAGAGAAGCTCTGGTACATTCACACAATAGAATATTATGAAGCACTGAAAAACAAGGAACTAACGAAATATTGTGCAAAGTAGATGACCCTAGAGGACATTATGATGAGTGAATTATCTCAGTCACAAAAGGACAAATATTGCACAGGGCCACTACTGTAAAACAGGACTTGCTCCCCCCACCAACCAAACTGTGCAGCTCTGCAACTGCATCCTGGCCCATCCTCACCTTTCTGCCCCCAACCCTCACCTCCTTGTACCCCCAATATGTTTTTCCCCAATAAAAAAGTATTTAAAAAAAAAACAGGACTGACGTTGGGGTTGAGGGAAGACAGTGAAGGAGGGGAGGAATGATGTATACTGCATTGAAACCAATGAGGGAGAGAACGGTTTAAAAGGGATATATGATTCAGTATTATTGTCATGACAGGAGTTCAGAATGAGGGCTGCACAGTGTAGTAGACTTAGGGGGAGGGATTGCATAACAATGAGAGTTTTTCTTTTATTTATCAAGGAGAAAAGTGAATTGGAGGGGAGGAGGTGGGCAGGGAGAAAAGTGCAACAGTGAATGACTGGAAACCCTAAGTCTTTGTAAACTTTTATTAAAATT